CTATTACTGCAAGAATTCACTAAAAGGAATGCAAGTGTATTGCATTTTATGCAATAAAATGTTTATTTTCTTATTTACAAAAGGAATTGATTTGTTTATCTCAATCCAAAACTATATTTTAAAGAAGGATTTAGTTTTTTAATGAAAAATCTGTTGAATGTGCCATTTTTTTTATTTGAGTAATCAGTAAATTGTCAGAATAATCGCTGAAATAATCGATGCATAATATAATGCTGAGCTGCAGCCCTAGATACACAATTTTAGATAAAACAGTCTCACATCAGACATTGGATTTGAAGAAGTTCTATAGCAGTAGAAATGCTGAAATTAAACAGACGGTACTTAAAGCACAACAATGAGTAAGCAATAATATTTGATCTCTTCACTATGTAGAAGACTTAGTTGGTATAGAGCTTGAAATGAATGATAAAGAAGTACAGCCAATTTTCTAGATTATTCTCGCTATTGCTTATTTAAAATAAGCGGATGCAGCTCCCATTTTGTAAATACCAAGTTCTCTAATGTTACGGGGAACATAGGGGAAGTTCTTTACTTACAGCTGGGTCTGTGGAACGCAACGTTATTGTATGTCAGTTTTGATTGGCTGATAATTCTGTCAGTCATGCCAACATGGCATTTTTGACAAAGTGGTAGCTGAATAAGTACAGCAGGTCCTGGGGCGAACTCCTCACAAGATGTGTTCAAGGCACTTTTTAAAGTAGGAAATTAAAGGAAACTTCAGTAATACCAATGAGAAACTGACTGGTAGAATAAGAATTAAATTATTAAAACATTTAAATATGATTAAAACATTTGACACTTTTTCTTTTCAATTTTCTAGGGCTAGCAGAGAAGGCCCTGCGGTACAGACAGTCCACCTCTGCCTATTTGACACTTAATGACCTCTTTGAAACTCTGGAGTTCAGGTTTTTCTTTAATCGCCTTGCTTAACCCTGTAAACCAAAACACATTCAGAGCTCCTCGATAGTTAATTTTCTTGAAACACTGTCATTTTACCTGTGTGCTACTCTCCAAGTTCACTAGCACGTGTGGATCTGTCAGCCATATGTTAAGTAAACGACTAATTAAAAGTTATGTGGATATGATTGTTGCTCCACCTTGAGCAGACGTCCATCACAACACAGAGGTGGGGTAATTGAAAACTCTCCTTGTCTAAAAGTAACTTATGTCTTTTGTGTAGAGATTTGTTGTCTGGGATTTCTTTAAACTTCTATAAATAATTATATGACACTCCAGAAATACCAGTTGCCCTTTAAATTACTCGCTTGGGTCCTCACCATTCAATCATGGTGCGGAGTTAATTAAGCTATTCCGTAAGTAATAAAGAAGATAGATGACACCCAGTCATACACACGGTGAACAATCCTCCCTGGCCCTGTGACAGCAACTGAAGACTGGTAAGGTCAGAGCCCCAACAATTGATGGAACTGTCATCCCATCACAGTGGAAATCCAGCAGCAAAATGGGATCATGGATTGACTTTCCACAGCTCCAGGGGGCCAAACAAATGGCCTGAGACAGATTGGTGGCCTTGTCTCCAAATGCTAAACCTCAGAATCTAATCTGAACAGTTATCAGTCATTTGCTGGCAGTGTCATCAATTCACCTGACCAGTAATGATCGTACAGTGGTGGGAGTTATTGACTCACTGAAGCTCCAGGAATATGGAGTCTAGTGGCTGTCAGTTAAAATCCCTGAGATCAGTCAAACAATTCATCATCATGTTCTTCAAACATTAGCATAAACGAGTTTGAGGATGCTGATTCTGCATTAAAGGATTCTGGGTTTTATCACTTTTAGAACTATCAAAGTTATCTGCTTCCATCACCTCATGGAAATTTAAATCTACCTGACTTGCGTCCATACTTCTCTAAAATAGAACCAATCTAAAACCAATCCGCAGTTTGAAAAGCGATATACCTCTGGTACATTAAGTACAGACATTCTATTCACAAGGGAACAGTTAGATTTTAAATGCTTCCTAAAACTCTCCTTGTGATTTATTGATCTCAATAAATCACAAAACACGAGTGTTAAAAATCAAAAGAGTTGGTTTGGAAACTAGTCATTTTCCAGACAACAATATTTTTCTACTGCGGACCAATCGGATTTCAAAGCAGACAGTACTGTGTTTCTGAATGAAAACCAATTGTATCTGTGTTAGATGGAGAAATAACACAGGAACAATCAGTTATGAACAGAGTCTGTGTGTTGCACCGACTTGTTTGTCATAACAGAGACCAAAGGGAAGTGAGGGGTGATAAGAGGATTTCTGCTGCTGTGGCACAGGGTGCTCTGCATATGGACTACAGCAGACCCACAACCCAACACAAGCACATGACTTTTGGCTTTACCAGCATTCCATACTAGATTACAACAGAGTCAATGCTTACAGTTGCATCACTCTCTCCTGGCTTGTAATTAGGTATAAATCGGTCCTTAGGCACTTACTTTGAGAGTTGATGACTTCTTCTGTGTGATGCTTCCCACAAGAGATTTGCACTTTTTCCACACATTGAACAAATGGCTTTGAAAGAGAGAGCGTCTCACTTCTGTCAGCTTGATTTCTGACGCTTTAGCATGCAAAGGAAAAGCAGGGAGAGCATCCTGCAAGCTTCTGAGAAGTGAATTCCCTTCCATCAGCCAGTTGACTGGCTGCTTGGTGGAGGAAGTGCTACTCAGCACTATATTTGGCTTAAAGCTGCAGTATGTACATTTCATTAAAAAAAAAATAAATAAAAAAATAAATGTTTACATATTTGTTGTAGCTGTCACTGTGGTGGCAGTTTGTTAGAAGACAGATAATCTGTAAAAAAAAAAAAAAATCAATCTCTGCCTCCTAGAAACAATCAATCAGTCATGCAATTTTTTTATACAAATAAAGGTTAGGGATGTATGCTTTGATGCATAAATATGGTATCAAACATTTTTCTAGAATTTTTCTGTTAATTTAACAGAAAATGTTAATTACTTTACTACTTCTGTAAAAGAACATACATCTTTGTTATGGTCTTTTGAAATAAAAGGACTTAAGAAATTAGTGTTTTGAAGTGATCAGGAACATGCCACAAAGCTAGCATGGTCCGTGTAACAAACAAACACACACACGCACGCAGCTACACACATACATACATACACACATATATATATAAACACCAGAGCAATAGAGGCCCAGATCTACCACACCAGACAAGACCCAAGGTGTAGGTTGTGCAAGGAGGCCCCTGAGACAGTCCAGCACATCACAGCAGGGTGCAAGACACTGGCAGGGAAAGCGTACATGGAACGACATAACCAAGTGGCAGGCATAGTGTACAGAAACATCTGTGCAGAATATGGACTGGAAACCCCGAGATCAAAGTGGGAAACACCCCCAAAGGTGGTGGAGAACGCCAGAGCTAAGATCCTGTGGGACTTCCAGATCCAGACAGACAGAATGGTAATGGCGAACCAACCAGACATTGTCGTAGTGAATAAACAACAGAGGAAAGCCGTTGTGGTAGATGTAGCAATACCAAGTGATTGCAACATCACTTGGGGATGTAGCAATCAGGAAACTGGAGAAATACCAGGGCCTCAGGGAAGAACTGGAGAGGGCCTGGAAGGTGAAGACCACAGTGGTGCCTGTGGTCATTGGGGCCCTCTGGGCAGACACCCCCAAACTGGAGCAGTGGCTACAACAGATCCCAGGAACAACATCAGACATCTCAGTCCAGAAATGTGCAGTCCTTGGCACAGCCAAGATACTGCGCAGAACCCTCAAGCTCCCAGGCCTCTGGTAGAGGACCCGAGCTCAGAGGATAAAAACCACCCGCGGTGGGTGAGAAGGGAATTTTTATATATATATGCAGGTCTCTTGTAAATTAGACAATGAGTCTCAAGATTTTTCCACAAAGGATTTTTCTAAAAAGAAATCAATATATTTGATTGTCATCTTTCCCTTTTTCGGCTGCACAGTAGTGCAGCACTGTTGCCTTACAGCAAGAAGGTCCTGGGTTCGATTCCTGGCCAAGGAAGTTTGCATGTTCTCCCTGTGCATGCATGGGTTTTCTCTGGGTACTCCGACTTCCTCCCAGAGTCCAATAACATTATTTGTTCTCTCCAAAATTTCCCTAGGTGTAAATTGTGTGTACACCCCCTGTGCAGGGTGTACACACAGGGTGCTCTTGCCCAGAACATAGCTGGAGAAAGGCACCAGCACATCCATTCATAGGTAATGGATGGATGGATTATCCCCTTTCAAGCATACATGGTTTTCCAAAAATTTAACAAAACAAAATTGAGTAATTGATAAAAATCAATTTATCTCCCAGCTGGCCAGCTATGAAAGGAAAGAGAAGACATCTGAACTCAGTTTCTGCCGTCGGACCTCATTGTTCCCTTGGCAACATGCTCATTGGAGGCTAGTTGTTAATTCAGCCAACCAGAGACCGCTGCCCCGCTAACTGTCCTCTGAGATCCACCCCTTCAGTTTGATTAACAGAGCCTCCTGTTGGCACACCATCAGATCACCATCTCCTCCCAGATTACGCCTCAGCACAATTTTTGATGCATGTCTCGTGCACGTCTGATAGTTGTCTTGCTTTGAGGTCTGTTTTTGCCTCCCTCCTACCTAATAAATTCAGAGTACAGCAACATGACGCCACAGGAAAGCACATATTCAGTTAAAAAGTAAATAAAAGCTCTTTAGTGGCAGCCAGCATCACCGATGGCAGTTCTTTTAATTACCGTAACTCGCTCTATGCTTTCACATCTTTATTGTTGCCTGGCGTTTGATCTGCTGCATTGACTAGTGTAAACTTCAGTCAGCATGCAGCGGGTACTAATGACACCCAAGGGAAAAACTCCCCCCAGCATGTTAATCGTGTCTTAAAGACTTAGAGAATATTTTTGTTTTGTTACCCTCGGTTGCAACAATGTATCTTTTTTTTTTTTTTTTTTGCAGCCACAGAAACCAAAGAAGTTTGGAAAAAACTCACAAGCAAAGGTTAGGCTGGCCTCTCGGCTGACGATGGTCCCGAAGGAGTTGGAGGCGAGGCACTGGTACGTTCCGGCGTCTTGGTCTTTGTTCAGACGGCTGATTCGGAGGTTGCCTCCAGAAAGGCTGTAGTGAGATCCAGCTTTGGGAGTGACTTCTGTACCGTTTAACTTCCACCTAAAGAAAAAAAAATGGAATCAGAAAGAATGGAAAAAATTAACACAGAAATGAAGAAATTAAAACATTATTCAGATCAGACTGGGGTGACGACGAACGGCAGACTCATGAGAATGTCGTGATTTGTACGTTCGATTGCATGAGAGCAAGAAAAGGTGGTGGGTTCCAGACATCATGCTTTCCAGCCTGGTGTTAATGTAAGCAGCAGTGAACCGTTATGGTGCCAAGGACTTGACTCTGAGAACGGATAGCATTGCAGGCCATCCATCTTTCCGGAGCTCAGTCAAACTGCATCAAATTTCCACTTAATCATTATGGCGAGACAATTAAAACAAATGTCTGTGAGCTCGCCTTCGCACTTGTGCATTCTAGAGCCATGGGTACGATTATTGTTGGTGTTATGGGTGATCAACGAGAGGTATAATTCACTTAAAAAGGCAGCGGACTCTCCAGTTTTTTATGCAGATGCATGTTATTAAGAAGAAACACAGGTGGGAGGAAATCCATCATTTCTGAAAAATGGCTACAAGCAATGACAAGCATCAGTGAGGCCAAAACATGCTCCCTGATCTGGAACCAGTATTGAGAAAGAATTCATACCCACGGAGTTTTCTCACATTTTGTCATATTACGCTGCAAACTACTTTCATTGGGATTTTGTCGAACAGATAAACACAAAGTGCTGGAGAAATTGTATCATTTTTTGCTCGCCCACCGACACAAATAACAATACTGAAATCAGTGCTTTTTGCCATGAGGGCCAAAGTTGTTTAAGTTGAAAGCACTTGTGGCCACAAACCCTGTACATTTTGTAAAACAACATTGTCAAACAAACTTTTGGTGCCTTTTTTTATCACCAATGAACTAAACTGTTTTAATTTAATTAAAAGTATCAAAATAGTCAGATGTGTAAATTACTGTAGATACAAAACATGAGAAAAGGCCCACAGTTTGAAACTGCTTTTGAAATTGAAATCAAAAGCAGTTTTTTCTTGCTTTTGAGAAAAAGTAGGTCAGTGTTTGTGGGTTTAGTTTCTCCAAAATTAAGATGAATGAAAAAATGTCATTAATAAATGGGAATCTATATTTTATACCTAATATATCTCCTCATTTTTATTTATCTGTAAAACTGTTGAAAAACATCAACCATCTATCCAAATGGGATAGGTAGTTATATCAATCATCAATTAGCATTACGTCTTGAGAAATTTTTTGAAGAGTGAACTTCTCCATGTCATAATTATGCATAGCTAGCAGCAGCGCATATCACATAAGATCCCCCTGGTAAACACTTAAGCTTATGAAATGAAAGAGGCCTAATAGACCAGAAAAGATTGTCTCCCATCATCCTTTAAGATAAAATGCAGTCCAGGTTTGATCCTGGTGATTTTGCTCGGTATTTCTTTGAGGAATGTTTCTGCTTTGATTTCTTTCATTTAATTCTCAGTTTGATTTCAGGTGCAGCTGGGAAAATATTGTGCTGCTGTTGTTGGAAGAACAAACACCTTGATGGGGCTTCGTCAAAGCTCCTCTGTAAATAGCGAACAGAAGTTGTGCGCAGCTGTTAGGTCTGCGACTCTCTCGGCTTTTACTGATAAAAAGGTTTTGTCTCACTAAGCTCAAACAACCTTTCAGGAAATATATTACCCATAGTGTTATTTTACTTCTGTCCTTTGTTTATCTTTGGCAGTGTAGAGGCTTCTAAAATTTATGATACCAGTCTAAAGTATTCCGTTCTGCCTCTGGCCCAAACAGGTTTTCTTCCCTAACCATGCAGCCATGGCGATGCCACCATCATGTTTCACAATACAGGCGACAGGTTTAGACTGACATGCCGACGTGAATTTCCACCACAAACAGCACTTTGGTTGTTGGCTGAAAACTTTTATTTCACCAGAGCACATTCAAAAGATTGCTTCACCCTGTCATAAGACAAACATTGTGGATGGGAAACTTCACTATGTTCAGCAAAAGTGTCTCCACTTTTCTTGATGTGCAATAGTTTGGTGCAATATGTGTCTTACAAAGTGATATAGAAAAGTTGAAATTGATATGAACTTTAAGATTTTCAAGTATGAAATGCCCTGTTCAGAATGACCTCTCATCTTGTTCCTATTGCCTTCAACTCGGAAAAGTGAAAAAACAAAAACAAAAAAAAACTACTCCTCCAAGGTGACCAGGGGCCTCTACTTTAAACTTCTCAACTTTCTCACCGACCTGTTGGCTGTGTTCCTTTGGTCTTGTTCACTAATATTCTCCAACAAACCTTATGAATACCTTTCTAAGGCAGTGCGTAATAGACCTAATCTGTCACTTGGGTTGCAGAAAATCAGCTATTTCTGGTGCCTTGTCTCTGGCCGCCTGTAGAGCAGGAGCAGGGACATCATAGGAAGTGTGAGCAGGAGCTGATTACACGAAAAACAATGTCAGACGAGCACTGCCTACCCGCCACTCTGCAATCAAATGTCTCAAAAACAGCTGAATTCTTGCGGGCCGGACCACGGCTGCACTCACACGGCGCCGCTGCAGAAGTCTCTCTTTTAATAGGCAAAATGTGCAGCACAATGGTCTTTCATAGCCCTTCTCCAGTTCCGTCATAAGTAAGTGCAAGCTCTCGAGAGCCTTATTACCACACACAATAGAGAAGAGCCTGCTGCTTTCCCACAGGGCCGCAGCAGTGATTCATTTGCAGCAAACAGAAAGAAATCAAGATATTTTCCGGGCCAAACAAACACCTTCAGCCTGAAAACAGCGGCAAAGCAGGCAGGAAGCGGAAGGAGCAGGTGACACACAGAGAGGAGTCTCTGTGTTTTCTCTTTGAAAAGGATTTCCATCTAATACGGAAGCAGCCTTTTACGCAGCTGTAATTGCTCAGAGTAAGGCGGCATTGTATCAGAAGATAAACAGTTTAATCGGTGACAGCTTGAAAAACCAAATGCTGCAAGAGATTTTCTTCGTCGGCCGTCAACTTCAATGCTTTATCCGACTCTTTCTAAAACAGTGGAGTGGGCGGTTACGGCAATTAGGCCTCAGAAAATTATTTGACTTATCTCAGAAAGTGATCACGCTTTGCACTGGAGCAGGAAGAATAAACTCAGTCAGGGAGGGAGAGCGTTTTCAATCCCTAAACGCTCCATGCAGTGTGCATCTGTGTCGGCCATGGTTATATATAACTAGCCACTAAAAAGCTGCTATTGTTCCCTTTGTAGCAAAATTGTAGAGCCCCAATAACAAGTCTTCTCACTTCCATAGCATTCATTATTCAGCGATGTTCAGACTTTCTGTGAAACTTAAGGACATTTCCACTGCAGCACAAGTTAGCGCGAGGCGCAGCATGGGGCGGATCTTTGAACTGCCAGACGCAGTCAGCTGTGTGTCTTTCATGGGAAGCAGGCAGAGGAACACATCAAACACATGTTGAAGAGAAATTTAATAATTCTGTTTACAGTGATTTATAACGGCAAGCCGGGCCAGGACTGCAGTCCCATTTGTTAGGCACATGCTTTATACAATCATGTAACAACAAGCTGTGTACAACTGTGGCAAAATACCACACCATCTGGCTTACGAGCCTGCGACTGCTGGCCGGTCTGTTCGGTCCTGGTGCTTTAAGATACTTTGATGCGTTGTCCCAGTAGTTACATTCACAGTAAATACTGAAACTCCATGTACCCTGGTTAAAATGAAGGGCTTTAAAAACACATTTTTACATTTAACATCCCATAAATACCATGTTGGTTAAAAAAATAAATAAATGTGTTGCTGAATTACTAACTTTTTGAAAGACTTTTGGTGGGAAATTTTGAGAATTTATCACTTTTTTAGTATTGATCTGTCAGAATCTCAAGATTTTGAGGCACACCTGACTTACATGATTTGCACATTTGGACCCAAAATTCCCCAGATCTCGAGGGTTTGAGGACAGCTCTTCCCCATGGCCTTCTGGGCAAATTTGAAAAAGATCCTGAACTTTATTTCAGGTTAATCGGTTTCACAATCGGACTTAATGCTAAAACTTAATCAAAGATCTCCTGGTGTAAGATCTTGTGATCCTCAGACAGGTCATGGGATTTTTCTTGTCAAAGAGGAGCTTGCCTTGTGAAACACTGATTGAGTGATTTGATGTGACTAAGACTAAGAATACCTGAATACCGTGATCCCTGCTGGTCTTGGGGGTTAAGGACCAGCTACCCTTCAAAAAGCTAAAGTACGACAATTTTTGAGACCCGTCCTAAGAACATCCATAAATGTCTATTTTAATCATTCAAACACCAAATATATCTATATTCATCAATATGCACAGTGGAAACCATATTGACACTTCCACAGGTAGACATCAGTCTACCTTATTTCTACTCTTGGGTTTAAACACAATTAGCACCAATAAAAATGAACGGTGCTCCTGGACTGACTGTTTTGCAAATGCCAGCCAAAGGCCAGGAAGCATTGAGCCTCCATGTTGCAGCTCTCCAAGCTGCAATTTTTAGAGTATTTAAGATTTGCTCAGCAAAAAAATATGAGAAATTTTTAGCCATAAAAAAGTGAATCTGCCACCAACAGGGGTGTCCACTGTATTATGAGAGTTAAAGGAGATGGATTTTAGCTTGAAACCCTGTTGTATGAATGAGTGTTTACTTTTGAAGATGAAAAGTAAACATTGTACGTCTTGTACCAGATTGGCTGCTCAGAAACAGCTGTCACCAAAGCCCAAATGTTAATCTGGCAGTATTTTGTTTATTTGGAATTTAGAGAAAATGTCAGTGCAGTGCTTTGTGTTTCGGCTGACAAGATACAACTAGTGAGGTTACTGCTAATGACAGACTGTAGTTCTAACACTACATTAAGGCACAGCTTTTACATTTGAACTCTGTTTGAAAGATTGCATTCCCATAATAAAATGTGTATATTTCTGCAACCACAAAGTCTACTTGAAAATGTTTCATGTTCTAGTAAAGGGAAGACTTGAAAGATTTGCAAGGATTGGGGAATATCAGTCTATG